TACGGCGAAGACTCTGTCTACTGTTAGAAGGAACATATGACCAAAACTCACGTTTACAGAGAAAACGTTGAGGGCAAATATCACAGAAAGATCTAGCGGTGATTCTCCTCGGAAAGATATCACCCAGCCCCAATAAGCAGTTATTGGACAAACCACCAAGCCAACTAAAAGATCTGCTATGGCCATGGATGTCAAAATGAGGTTAGAGGGTGATGATCGGAGTTTCTTGAGAGGATCTTTCCAAACTGCAACTAAGACCAAAATATTTCCAAATATGATTACTGGTGCCATTGCTATCGATAAGGCAGCGCTGATCGCTGAAAGTGGCCTCACGTTTTGTAGGCTTAGCCATCCTTCTTCAAGAGCTTGCTCGCTTGTTATGTTCCAGAAGTTGTAGTGGCCAAGAACGGCCGCCATTTCAACCTGTTATCTGGTTTCCTCGATGGAGTCTCGTGTAAAATGAAGTCGATTTTGCATTCGTCACAGTATTTTGAAAACACCTTGGCTTTCTTTGACCTCAAGAAGACAATGACTATATAAGGTTTTCGGTTTAACCAAAGATATTGGAAGCTTTTATTTCCAATGATGTATTGTCTCAACTTGGGCTCCAATAAATGCTTCTTTAAAGCAGAAGATGAGACTTAAACAAAGAAAACAAGAAAACTGGACAAACAAAAACTTAATCGTACTTCTATGTCTACGTTTATGATTCAACCTTCGTCTTTCAGTTTGTGAAAATGCTCATGACATGCTTCTTTATCTTCATTGACGTCATTAAGACGGAAACGACATTTTGACAACTACTAATATCCTTATTTTTCAAAATCGTCTTATTGTTTTTAGATGCCCCCTCAAATTTCCTTTTGTGAAAGATATTGATGCATGCGGTTGGATCACGTAATAATCAACCAACAATTTGGTTAGGGCCGGGTCGCATTACAGACGATTTTACAGAAAACTGTTTACTTTAGGGAGTAAAATCTGTCAACATACCTGTTTTCTAGTGCGACCCCTCATTTGTGATTTTTCAAAAATTTCAAAATCGGGAGAAAACGACCGTATAATTCATTTTCATTTCCGGTCTGAAGCAATTTGATTTTCCAGCCGACTTTTTCGAGCCAAAATGAAAATTGGTCTGTAATGCGACCCGGCCCTTAGGCCAACTTTCACAGTTCAAATATTTAATCAATGTCTACACTCATATTACCTTTCTTCTCTTTACTTCTTTTAGAGACTTTTATCCATGCAAAAAGATTTGCTTTATAGCGCAAATAAAAAATTTTCAACGACTTGACGAGATTGCTTTAAATTTGCATGCATCTTTCGATAGCATCCCTTCTCATAGATCATATCAATTACAGCCTACAAGTTCACCTTACAGCAATGTATTTTAAAGGATAGTTTGCTTAAATGAATTGAACGAAAACCCAGAAATTGTAAATGATAAATAACTTCCTAATGTATAATCGATAAATTTGTTAAAAGCTGCTTAGTTCAAACAACACATTTTGATTAATTTCAACAACAACAAATTTACATTTCTTATCTTTTGAAAAATACCTTCCTGAGAAAACTCATATGACAGACCCTAGGCATTAACTATATGCAAAATCAATATCATGCCTTCCTAATAACATAGGCCCTCAAAGTCAGTCGGTCAAACCAAATCATAAAATCTAATGCAATTAGGCTCCTTCAAATTCCAATGTTTAACTTGGTCAGATTCAGCAATTGCGATACTGAACAGAAAATCTTCCCCGATGTGGCGCACAAAAGTACCTTTACTGCTTTCATGTAAAAATCCTATGGCTCTTATTTCTAAATCATTACATTTTTTTAATCACTTCATCTCTCTATTATATGAGGGAATATAACTTAATTGATGACTCTGAAAATGACGTTAACGGCAGCATCAGTCTTATATAGCCCTTACATCTACACTGATTAAAACTGAACTGCCAAGTACACCTCATGTTTACAGCTAATGCAAATATTCAAGAGGTGGTCAATATTTCAGATTTGCAGTTTATTGTACACTAGATTCGTAACAGCTCTCCATTAACGAAAAGGAGTGACAGCTGAATACAACAGTAGATATTGATATGTCCTCGCGCTTTTCGCCTACGCACCAGTACAATCAGTGTGTTGTGTTTCCTTGGCTGGTCACAAACACAAGTCAATCTTGTCCATCATTCAAAGTCGAACGTTTCGGTTGCTAGCATCAACGTTCTTAAATATTTTTCTTGAGCGACCAAATTGTATTTTTTAAAAAATGCTTGGCTGGTGTGAACGCGTTTAATCTCTCCGTATCTTTGTACACCAGTGAGAGACCCCTCAAAGACACCGAATCACTTTTCAAGCTCAAAGTAAGCACATTTTCAAAAGCTTAATTTTCAGCTGAGCACTGATAATTTGGTAATCCCCTCGTGAGTACGATAGCGTATGATGATTAGTTTGAAATGAAGATCGTGAATTTGAACACGACCTAGGCAATTAGCTTTCGCCTCGGCGCATTTGTTCAATTACATGGTCACAAATTGCTGACACAGCAAATATTAACATCCTGTCATTATCTTTGCCTAGTTACAAACCAAACAATGTCAAGTTCGGAATCTCCTTAATTAAAGTCCTCAAGGCAAATCACAAACCCCATGTAAATCAGACAAGGGACCTAACTTCAGCTGCTTTCGTTTTGAATGAGAATGACTGCGCTTGTGAGCCACCACGATTTTTGGAATATGACAAGCAAAGAAACTTTAAATGTACTCTAGCTGAGAGTGGACAACATAGAGACTACATCTGTAACCTTTGTCATTCTTGGAATCGCACGGGCTCCGTTAATTGTCTTTGGAAACTCGTTGGTAATTTGGTCAGTTTGGAAAAAAGATTGATAACTTTGTCAGTTCACAAACAACTGGTGGTCTGGGTATCACCAAAATTTTATTATTTGAGTCGGGATGGCCTTTTGTGTGACTTGTAATCGTTCCACGAGATAGAAAAACTACTAAAAGAGAATGAGACTCTACAAGGTCACATGTAGGGGGCTAAGGGCCCGTTTCTCAAAAGTGTAGTTAACTTTTAGGGCTCGCATAATCTAAATTTAAGAAGTAGTCAATCCAATAGATATCCAAATATCAATCCATCTTATTTCATTCCCGATACTTGTTTTCAGAACTTAAACCTTGAGAAAAGAAGCATTTCATGTCGACTTTCATATCGTCATCAATCAGAAACCCACTGCACACGTCAATAAAATGATCTAACTTGGGTTAGTTTTAGATGAAAATGTAACATGGAAATCGCATATATCTGACGTAGCTTGTAAAAATATTGAAATCCACAGGTATACTTTTTAGATCTAGTTTCATTCTTTCCAAATCCTCTCGTCCCATGATGACCCCAAACCTTAAAGATTGTAATTTAATCTGCGGATGAAGCTCTAAAAACAAATGATCATAGAATTGTCATTAAGCAAAAATGTTTCATCGGGAAAGTAAACAAGTCTCACCATGGTACTCAGACGGATCCTATTTTCAAGAAACTTATAATCACCGCATATCCTCGAATAATCGCCCAGGTGCCTTTTTAAAGTTTCGGCCTAAAGGAGGGGCGCTTATCGGAAGGAGGGCGCGTAATCGAAGGGGGTGCTTAATAATAATAATAATAATAATAATAATATCTTTTATTTAAACACGATAGGGTTTAAAGCTCAAAGCTTGTGGGGTCGTGTGAAAATAATTACTATATCAAACTATATTAAAATAGGGATAGCATTACTTGCAAAATACAGCTACCATGGTAAAATTTAAAAATATTCAAGTTTCTAAAAAAGAAACTACCAAGCAGTACTGATTCCTCTGTATTTGAAGCTTAAAAAAGTTATAAATAAAGCGGAAATAGAGACAGCTTTTCCTCGTATCCCTAATATTAAAAACAGGGAGGGAGGAAGGGAGGGGGGTTCTTATTCGAGGGGGCACTTGCTTGATATTAGGGACCTTAAGCAAAGCACGACGGCGACGGCAACGAGGACGTGACAAAACAAACGGTCCTATAACCAGAACAACTGCTCAGCAGGTGTGTTTTAAAACTGTGTACATTTCTTCACCTTCTTCTGCAAAATAACAACGTGAAATCATCAAAATTTGCGTGGTCCGAGAGAAGAAATCCCGACGGCAAATTAGTTAAGTTTCTATTGGGAACTCTACGCCTCTCTCATATGTTATGCCGAGGTTAACTTGCGGCCCTGTATGAGATGGTAAACACATCCAGTCATTCTCGAAATTCCAACTGTAAATATATATATATTCATTTTTAATCGATGTCTTCCTTGACGTTGCTGTCCTAACTGCTAAAGGTCCCCAATATGGCCACGGGGGTTGTCGGTTATTCGGGAGAGGCGCTTATTTGAGCGTAGGTGCTTATTCGAGAAAATACGGTAACTTGCTTAAAAAGCTTGGTCATTTCATGCTTTCGTTCAAAAGATCCTCTCTTAAAAATCTCGAAGTATATTCATGAGAAACAACCGAATCCATTGCCACAACACAAGGCACGCAAACTCCTTTCCTCTACATTTTGTGAAACAAATATGTTCAGCAGTTTTCTTCAACTCCCTTAATCTTGAGATCACTGGCTCCTCATCTCTAGCATTCTTCAGAAAAAAGATTTGAGATAACTTTTCTTAGCAACTACTCATTCTTCCATGGATAATAAATATGGCTTGTAAACTGGGTATTTACTATTCTGTTATCTAGGGTTATTTAACTGAATACTTTTTGTGGAGGAACCCAAGCCTACAATACTTAATGGTATTTATTAGACTTCCCTGCTATTAATCCGTCTTTCTTTAACAATTGTTGTAAACTGATGTAATTGTATTTGAAATGGCACAGAAAGATAAACGAATGACAAGTTTTTTGGACTCCTAACTGTCACGACCTCCTAGAAACGAAAGAGTTGAGAACTTCAAAATCTTACCAAGAAAGATCCTCGAAATCTCAAAATTTGGACTTTGTTACAACTATTTTTACCTATAAAGAGACATTTACTCGACAGAAAACAGCATGAACAGGACTGTAAAGGATTATGATTCTCGGAAGTTAACATGATCGGTTTGCGTGCACAGAATAGTAATCATAGAGTCAGGTAAGAGGGATGATCTGTTGCCGGAAAAAAGAGTGAAAAGGAGGTTATAGAACTTCATTAAGATATTAATTGAAAGCAAAGGGTCATTTTCTGTGCCTCCGTCAGTTAGATGCTGGTTTCATTACCTACATTTACTCATCGGAAATATAAGCCTAAGCCTTGTTCTCCTCATAGAGTTTTCGGCAAAAAGGAGTCACATTACACCAAAGTTTTTAACATTTTTCTACTCTTGCTTTCCGCCACTGAAGTAGGAAGCGACAGGTTCTCATAACGCAAATCAGGCTGCGCTACACAGAACTTTTTCGGGTCAAAGCTTTCTACAATTACTCGCCCTCTACTGTCTGGCGGTTTGGTTTTTAACTCGGACAGAAGTTACAGAAAGTTGTAACTCGATTCTCTTGAGTAATGCCTGATGTTATTCTAAATTTATTTGCACCCTAATGATAGACATTGAAAAATTAATCAGTTATGATTGGTTGAGATAAATGCAGGTTTCTGCTAATTTAGTTCAGATGAGGGTTGATTTAGTGCAAAGAAGTAACAAACCAAATTCTGATCGGTCGATAATCAAAGAAACTCACAGATAGGCTATCAAATGCGAGCCTTGAACTTCGCAACAAATTTGAAAATTTGCGAGCGGAACAATGGCCGGCGATTTAAGTAGGTTTTCTTTCGCCATCGCAGCTGAAAAACAGCTCTAACAACGAAAACAGTGTAAAAAGCACTGCTTTTTGGTTGTCGGTTTGGAGAAAGTGGCGTTTAGAGAAGTAAATTACCAAGGAAATCGAAAATTACGAGCCGACCCAGCTTAACAATTTGCCCGAGCGATCCTACGCCGAAGTAAAAAACAAACACGGTTAAACCTCGGAAACGACGATTCCATTTCATCGCCGATGAAAGTGATTCGGACAAAGACTGAACAATTCCTTTAACTGTTTAGTCGGACTTTGAACTTTTTTGTGCCTTAAAGATGTGAAGATATCATTGTATATTAACGTTTTGATCGTACGCGGTTGTTTTGACCGAACGCACGGTTTGCACAAGTTACTTTTGGACTTGATGCGCGCGCTTTGCTTCTGCTTAATTATGATAAGCTATCTT